TAGAATGGCATACAGAACTGCTTATAAGTTGTGAATGAGTTTGAACAGGTTGTATGCTGGGAGCTTTAATAACATGATCAGCTATGCATAGACGACTGAGCATTACATATACAACACTTCAGATAGTAAAGAAAATATATAGATAAATTAGGGCATTGGATTTTCTACAGATGCATAAATATCTCACCACTCATTTTTAACCTTCAATGACTAATGAAGGTCTGCAGAGCGAGTGGGGCATTGATTATTCAGGGTATTATTAATAACATGTCAGCTACACATTCACAATACATATATCATATATAACATCTTCCAACATAGAGCTGATAAAAATAGAAGTCATTCTGTTATTACAGTTGCTGAGAATAATGGAAATTCAAGTGATTTAAAAAAAAAAGATTCCTCAAACTAAAATAAATATTTTAAATAATTTTAGTTACAAAGGAAAAATCATCAGATTATCTTCCAAATATATTAAACATGAGGTTTGATTTGACAACTGTCATTATTAGCAGCTGAAATTTTGGAAAGGTATGTAACTATAAACAATGAACTCATCTATATCGATCTTGATTGCCTCCTGATTGTTGGTTAGAATCATATTTGCTTTAATTCTATAATAATTTGATTTAATTAATTTGATTTAATGTAATATTAGTGGTTTTTGAAGGGTTAATCTGTCTTTAAATAGCCAAACTTGCCTCTGGAAATAAAAACCCCGGGACAGAAATTTGCTGTGAGAAAAAATAGAAGAGAAAGACATATTTAAAATACTGTTTTACTATAGACTTAAAAAATAAATAAATAAACATTCAGCAAGAAAAAGAAAAAAAAAGTAACACTGTCCAGAGCAATACTTAACCCTACACACTGCCAGAAAAACGTAAACACAGTCCAAACGCAAAGTAACCACACTGGTCTGCCTCTAGATTGAAAGGTAAGATATATTTATATATCTGTTCCATGTCAAATTCTGTCATTCTGACAAAATGCCACGCTTAAGCTATGTCTAAATAAATAAATGCTACCAAATGTGGAATTATGCGGACATTTCAGATGAAGTGCTTATGGCAGAACTTCTCTGTACAGGTAAACCTACAGGTATGTTTGAATATGACTTTATCATTTCAATAATATAACAAATTATGTCTAAAAATGATTAATCCAAACTCATGTGGCACATAGAACCTTTAAACCTGACGACTGAAGGAAAGGGTCATGTCATGGAGCTGATGTATGACTTAACTTACTATGCATGCTGAATGGAGAACTGTCTCTTCCATACAGATTGCACTGTGTATTGTGTATAGGTTGACTCACCTGCCAAGTTGTCCACCTCTTTCTCCTGCAGTAGACTGACCGCGTCGTCGTCCCCCTCGAGCATCAGCTCTGTCTCAGGGTTCTGGCTGACCACCGCCTGGCCACGGAAGGCCTTCCTCCCTCTCAGGGCCTCGTCTTCCTGAGGGCCTGCAGGGAGACAAGGGTGATGAAAATAGACAATATGTGTACTTAAGCACATTTGAGAATCACAAGGCATAACAAGTACATTAAAAATACCTATACAAATACATACATTAAAGATTATACTGTGTATATATATATATATATATATATATATTTTTTTTTACGAGTCCGCAGAAAATCAATAAGGCATGATAGATAAATAGATTATGGTTGCCAAGCAATGTAGGAACTTATTTTATTTTATTTCAAAGACCCATTCACAAAAACGATAACGATAAAGATAACTATATTAGTGTCCATACCACCAGACAATAACGTTCTGTTTCTTATAAGCATGTGCTGCAGTTTTTGCATCTGCCACTTTTAATGCTTGCACTCTTTAACGTAGGATGGATTCTGATTGGCTGATGTTTTTATCATTCATCAGCTGAAAAAAAAAGGTTCTGAAAGGGATTCCAATGATATTAGCTGTGTCTCATTTAGAAGGCTGCGCCCTCCGGAGGTCGAATCCTCTGGAGGTCGCATCCTCTGTAGGATGCATATACGAAGTGTCCTTAACCTAGAATTAAACGAGACGGCCTTCGTAGGACAGGCGGAAAAGGAAACAGGAAGTATCATGTTGCTATGCCAACACATTTAGAGCATTGTTGCGCTCTCACGCTACTTAAATGAATGAAAATTATTTCTAAATTTGGAAAGTAATTTGAAAAAAAAAATGCTTTTACTTGTTTTATTTTGTTCAATGTTTGAGGAGCTGCAGCGTAACAGACATCTGTTAGAGAAAAAAAGGAGGAGGATATTAAGAACAAAGTTTATCCGTTTTTACCGAGGCGATTTAAGGTAAGTTGTAAACACCACAGCAGCCTTCTAA